CATCAACATACACACCAAGGTCTTTCTCATAACCGTATCTTGTCTTTGCTTTTTACTAATAAACTTTCAAAGTAGACTGACAAAACAAAATATAAAAATATCTTCCTGTTCATATTATTTCAACGTTTTTTTTTTTCTTTTTCAGTCATTGCATTTCATATTTAACCTTTTTAATATGGGTATGTTTTTATTTTAATTATTTTGGAATGCTGAGATGTGATTTTTAAAGGTTTTACTATATTGATCACATGACATGAGTAGTGAGAGCACCGAATTTCGTCCAATGGAACGATCTTTTGGGAATCTGTTCCCACACTTCGGATGTTCTTTGAGACAAAGCTTAATGAAGCGAAACAGTTAACCTGTGGCCTGTACTACGAAGCGGGGTTACTGGCTTATCGGGGTAACTTGTCAGATTTAAGGTACCACAGTTTAAATGGACTTCATATTCGTTCACTTACATTTTGCCCAGACTACCTTAAATCCGACAACTTACCTCGATAAGCCAGTAACCCCGCTTCGTAGTACAGGCCACTGGTCTGGAGCAGACTTGTTCACTTGCCTAATTTACCATGTTAGCTCAGCAAGGATTCATTTAAGACACGTGGATGGAATGGAACTCCCATTTAAATGAGCAAGACTTGTCGAAATAAGTCAGACTTTCCCTTAATCCTGCTTCGTGGAACACCCCCCTGATGACTGAATTAAATCAAATAATATTTACTTCAATCAGTCAAAAATAAGGAAAAGATACCATTCCAGAAGCACCGTAACGACTAAATACTGTTGGCAAATAAAAGAGACGTTTGTCATAATGTAACATTTCTAAGTTACTGATCCTCCTGATCATCCATCTTCATCTCCGCAACACCAACATATCCACAGAGCATCTGCTGCGCTGTCATTGAGCCCCACACAACACATGCAATGCGACGGTCCCCACACGAGGGACTCAGGTGCAGACACATGTCATACGCACTGTGCAGGGAAATTGTGATCGGACCTAATATGCTTCCTGTAATAAAATGCCGTGAGACTACAGCTGCCAACAGCAAATTTCACCTTGATTCCTCAACTGTGTAATTGTTACCAGTGGGATTTAAATGTTATTTTAAGGAAACTCAGATAGGAATGCCATCATCATGAATTATCTGCATATAAGTCCTTTTCAGCATAAAATGATGTGCATCCTACTTCTGGTACTGTCATAGTGACACTGCTTAGGGAGCTGTTGTAATCGTACTATCTGTCCCCGTGGACCTTTAACATAAGAGGAGGTTTCTACGCATGTACAGACATTCCACGGGTTACGATGATCTGTGTTACAATATTTCGACCTTACGGTAGGCAGATATTTTTACTTTCAGTACATTGTTCAATAAATAACATGAGATATTCAACACTTTTTAAATAAATGAGCATTTGTGTTAATGATTTTGCCCAACTGTAGGCTAATGTACGTGTCCTAAGCATGTTTGAGGTAGGCTAGGCTAGGCTATGATGTTTGAGGTTAGGTGTACTGTATTAAAATGCATTTTTGCCTTACAATATCTTCCCCTTATGATAGGTTTGTCAGAATGTAACCCCACTGTAACCCAGGGAGAGGGTGTATTCTGTTCTACAAATGAGAAGGTATTCTATGCATTTATTCTATTCTACATATGGGGAAGGAGGTATTCTACATATGTATTCTGCTCTACGAATGGGGAGGAATTCTACATATGTATTCTGCTCTACGAATGGGGAGGAATTCTATGTATATATTCTGCTGTACGGAGGCAAATTTCCTTTTTTTCAGGGTGGTAGGAGACGTCTCAGTTATTTATGAGAGAAGTGCTACATGATTGGCCAGTGCTCCCAAGGGGATAAAGTACTTTCCCTAACAATATGCTTAGCTTATCACTTAATGCATTGCAGTTAGAAAACATTTACGTAGTTTTACACAACGCATTGACATTAAAATTCCACGTCAACGCATTTTTATAATCGACATCGTCGTTTACGTCGAATAATCGTCCCAGCCCTAATTGTATTCCACTTATGGGGAGGTATTCTATATACAGTACGTATTCTATTCTACATATAGGGGTAGCATCCAATGTATGCAGTCTGTTCTTAGTGTAAGGGAGGCTCTCCCTGTATGTATTCAATGCTACCTATAAGCGAGGTAATTTATACATGCAGTGTATGGACAAGAGTATTACCTCTCAGTAACTGAATTCAGGTGTTTCAGTCAGACCCATTGCCACAGCTGTATAATATCAAGCACCTAGTCATGCAGTCAGGTTAACAAACATTTGTGAAAGAATGGGTTGTGTTGTTCTGTTGAGCCAAGTGAATTCAAGCATGGTACTGCCATAGCGTGCCACGTTTGCAGTAAGTCAGTTTGTGAAATTCTTCCCTGCTAGATGTTCCGCGGTCTACTGTAAGTGATATTATTGCAAAGTGGAAGTGTATAGGAACAAGAAAAACTCAGCTGAGTGGCAGACCACAAAGAGTAACAAAGCTGGGTTACTCAGTGCTGAGGCACATAGTTTGTAAAAGTTGCCAATGTTTTGTTGACTTAATAACTGCACTTTCAAACTTCCTCTGGTATTAACCCCTGAACAAGCTGTGCACTATGAGCTTCATGGAAGGGGCTTCCATGGCTGAGCAGCTGCATTCAAGCCTTATGTCACCAAACGTCGGATGGAGTGGTGTAAAGCAGACCACCACTGGACTCTGGAGCAGTAGAAACGTGGTCTCATTGTGGACGATTATATAGTTTGGGGAGGCCCTTTTCTGTTCCAGCATGACTGTGCCCCAGTGCTGAATGCATGGCCCATAAAGACATGGTTGGGTGAGTTTGGTGTGGAAGAACTTGACCGGCCCACACAGAGCCCTGACCTCAACCCCATCAAACACCTTTGGGATGAACTAGAAAGGAGATTGTGAGCCAGGCCTTTATGTCCAACATCAATACCTGACCTCACAAATGCTCTTGTGGATGAATGGGCAAAAATTCCCACAGACACATAAACTTGTGGAAAGCCTTCCCAGAAGAGAGGCAGCTGTTATAACTGCAAAGGGGGGACCAGCTCCATACTGACGCCTATGGATTTATAATGGGGTGTCATACAAGTTCCTTTAGGTGTAATAGCCAGGTGTCCCAATACATTTGTTCATATATTGTGCATATTCTTTGTTTATGTATATACGTTTTATATTCAGTGTATATGGGTGGCATTCTATCTTTGCATTCTATTCAATGTCTAAAGGAGGTATTCTATTCTATTCTATTCTATTCTATCTTTGCATTCTATTCAATGTCTAAAGGAGGTATTCTATTCTATTCTATTCTATTCTATCTTTGTATTCTATTCTGCATATAGGGGAGCCATTCTATATATATATATGCTGCAGGCCAGCTGGCCCTGCACTCGAACCCCTAGCTGTGCGCTAACCTATATATTTGTGTCTCTGTCTCAAAGATGAGCAAGATGTGAAAGAAGCTTTCTAGTGTGTTTCTACAAATGGCAAATGAGGCACCGTTTCATTTTTAGTTTCTGTGTATGATTGAATTCCGTCTAACTATATGTATGTGGAGTAAGTGTGTCCATGTCAGGCAAGGTCCTCCCGAGACACCCTGTCGGATTAAGTGTAAACTGCAAAGTTCCGCCCCGAGACTCGCCTTGATTACAGTGGGACAGAACAGAACCCATCTGTCCCTCCCCGTAGGGACCCTGTCCAGCGGCTTTTTTGGTGGCCTACATTCCCGCCTCGGAGCTGTCGGAGGAAGGACCCACTGCTTGTGCTAAATACATCGATCCTGGGAGAACGGCGCTCGAGAAGAAATGAGAGGCGACGCCGCCGTGCTTGGGGTCTCGTCTCACGCTTCGCTGATGATGTTCCTTGCGGATAAACACCCCAATCAGATTTGGAAGCTATTGAATTACCAGGAATCAGGGAGCATTTCTATTCCCGAACAGGTGCAGATTACTGGGCTGCACCAGGCAGTGATCTTATCGTCATCCAGAGCCGCTGGACAGCAGCTCATTCCCAGGCTGCATGGGCTCCGCTGTGGCTGTGTGAGGCTCGGCCTGGCTTGGTGGAGGAGAATCCTTTTAACCTGGGGGATTATTCATTATCCCAGAACCACTTATCGGATGCAGGCCAGGAGGGGAGCACATGCCAGAATTCAAGGGGGGCGCACACACACACACACACACACACACACACACACACAAGTACACACATAGACACATACGCACACACACATACACACACACGCACACATACACAGACACACACACATGTTTGTATTCATTTCTTTATGTGAACCATCCATTTATTTCTATGGGCAAAACCCTAACCCCAACAGTGACAACCTTAACCCAGCCCTAACCTTAACCAAAAGTAACCAAACAAAATACAAGACTTTTGGCATTTTAAGTTTTTTTGATTGCAGTCACAGATTTTTTTCAAAATTGAGTTTCGCCATATGGGCACCAAAAAATGGTCCCCACAACATCTAAATAATATATATTATATACATAATGTATAACATATACATAATGCACAGCCACACACCATATACACACACACACCCTCTAAGGGTAGACTAAAGGCATTAACATACCAGAGGAAATCCACTGGAACATTTGTGAGAACGTGCAAACTTCACAAGTACTGTACTGTGTCGGGATAAACAACAGCGCTGGGGAAGCGAGGTGACAAACCGCGCTGCTATCAGCATGGCTAATATACACTAGCAAGTAAGTAATACACAGTGCAATCTCTATGGAAAAAATCTCATAAGTTCTGGCAACTTATTCTCATAAGTCGCCAGCCAGAGGAAATGTCTAGTAGAATAATGTTTAATTATTTGATTTATAAAAGCAAAGCTATTAACTCCATTTTGATGGAATATAATTTTATTACTTCAAAACAGCAACACATTACATCAACAGAAAGAACACAATGAACCTATATTACATTTGTGTTGTTTTTCGTAATTAGCCTTCATTAAAGACAAATTCAACTACTTAACTTCACAAATAGATGTCAATATACAGACAATAATGGGTCAATGTTAAACTTGATACAAGTTCAAGGTAATGATAAAACATTTTTTACAAGTACAAAAGAAATCATACTTTGGTTCAAAAATGAAATCACTATCCTTATTCAAATAAGAATGTGCAATATAGTGTTATAGTTAAGCAATACAAAATTTGGCAGCTGAAAATTTTATGTAAAGAAATTATTATTAGGTGAGAGATTTCATTCATTTTGTTTAAACTTCTTATTCCAGAATTGAAATTTGTATTAAATGGCAGTTGTCTCCAGTGGAAGAAGAGAAGTATATAATAAAGTAGACATTCTAGCTTTCTTTCTCTTTTACACGATGGTCAGACTTTCACGGCTTCCTGAGATGTGCAGATGGTAACGATTGGAACCAAAAAGTCCAGACCTGGACCTTTGCTCCCTTATGCACCAAATATAGTTAAATACGCCATTAAGGATGCGAGCTGGAAGCTGAGAGCAGCCCTGTTACCAGCCGCTGGGGGCACAGATTTATGGGACAGAGTTGCTCATATTCCTCCTGCATTTTAACTCACCAGTTCTTCTAGCGTTTCACAAGGTGAGCTTTCATTGGGGCCGTAGAGGGAAATGCCTAGTTTGACCTGAGTTTTATGTTATTTATAATGTTCAAGGTGATTTAGGTGAATTCGTTTTCAGGCTTCTTACTTGAAAATGTTCCCTCAAGTCTTACAGGGTTTTCGACATCCTGTCTCATTGAGAGTGACCTTTCTGTTTTCAATTCGTCCATCTTTAGCTTGACTGAATACAGAGGCCAAAGCTTTTCTGCAAAGGAACTTGGTGAAAATTAAATTACAGCAGAACAACTGCAGGGCTGTTTGTTACTCATTTAACTTGTAGCTTTTGATAGTGGTGTCTTAGAGGGTGGATAGCTGAAACGTTGAGTTGCTTTGTTTCTTTATACATTTTTTTTTTTGCAAATTCAACGTTTTCAAACAAAAGCTGAACTGTTGCATTTTTATGATGTAGAGTAAAACGCTGCCAAATCCATATTGTCTGATTAATCGATCTCACCTCGCAACATTTCAGTAGAGTGTAACTTTCAACAGAACGTAGAAGAATCGCATGCATTTTTCTGGCTGACATCAAATGACAGTAATACAAACTCACTTGCTACATTATTTCATCTTTATTTCTATCACATTCTTCAGGTATTACCAGTTAAGAAAGTTAAAAAAAACAAACATCTCTTTGCACATCCTTAGGTACAAGGAAAAATAATCACATTCCTTCCTTTCAACTGCCAAGTATAAATCCATAGGAGTGATATTTGGAAGTACAGACTTTCACTTTATGAATGTTTATTAGTGGAAAGCATACACTTTTTGTTCATTAATCTTACTACACTACTCCATGCATCATGAATATTGTTTTTAGATGATGACCAATTACAAACAGTAATTCAGTGATACCACTACCATGCGTTAGACATGTTACTCCCCATAACAAAAAAGGCAGTAATTATATAAACATTCGTCTAACTGCAAGCTGACATTTTGCTCCTGATATTCCTTCCCTGAGGCCTCCGTATCAGCAGTTTTTTAGTTTTACCACCCAAACTAGAATGAAATTGATAAAACTGATATGGAAGGATGTTGAATTAATATAGTACAAGCACAGTTAAAAAGGTCATTTTAGGCAATATGACCTCAGCTCTTTTTTTCACTGCAGACTGATAAAGATGGCTAATTAAAAAGAACAATGCATCATTGTCACAATATTATACTATTTCTTAACATTTGTGTGCTTTTCAATGCTTCCCATTAATTAACTACTGTATGCTGATAACTGTAATATAATGCTTACTTAGCTTGGAACTAGTATCTTGGGTCGGATATATAGCTAATGTCTTCTCTGAATGTATGATGTCATAACTGATGTGTTTATAATGGCAAAACTGCACAAAAATAAAATGTGAAGATTATATAAAAAATGAAGGCACCACGTAAATTTACAGTATATGTTTATGATACAATGATCTTCACAAGCCCAAGATGAAGTCTATTTTGTTTGACTACAATTCTGTTTAATTATCAATCCTAACACATTCCCTACCAATTTTTCAAGCGTGTGTGAAGATAGTTAAACAAGAAATACTTGAGTATGTACATGGTTTAATATACTATAAAACTGCAGGTAAAGTCTGTACCTCAAATATAAAATGCAACAATATCCTTGGCGAATGAAGAACACAAACACACATATGCACAGAACACCTGCATGCGGTTATACAGAGAAACGCTGGCTTGAGAAGCTGCGTGAGAAACCACACTTTGCACGGAAATGTGTCTTTTTATTTTGTACATATGACTGAAATACAAAGAGTTGCTGCATTCAAAAAAGCAGTCAGCAACCTAAAGTTTTACAGTGATATAAAAAAGCCACTGAAATATATAAATTTAGGAATGATCGCAAATCTTTAACAATAAACAGGCACTGAGCCACATAGAATCAAGGTGGAGATGGGCTGAAGGCACCATCTTAACTTCTGTGTGGACTTTCAGTCCTCCGCATAGATGAAGCCAATTATTTCATACTTCCATCCACAAATGACATCACAGGGTGGTCCACAAATGACATCACAGTGGTGTCCTAGGGATGGATCTTAACACTCCTGTCCTCACGCGCTGATTGGAGCAGTCCCTTTAACTTCCATAGACTCCCGCGCCTTGCGCCCCGCATACTCGCCGATGAATGAGCCGTCCTCATTGAACTGTCCATCCTCGTCCCCGTAGTCCACCAGGCTGTCCCCGCTGTCTGTGGCCTTTATGTCCCCATCGAGAGAGCGCAGGCTGCCCTTCAGCGGCTTCTCGTCATTGTCACTGTGGGGACACATGCCAAGGAAGAAGGAAGTTAAATGTTACCTCGGCGTAGTCATGTCTAACCGTTAACACTCTCACTGAGACTACTGGGGAAGACCTTGGGTTCGGGGCATGAAGGAACGGGGGTTCCTTGGCTAACAAGCTAACAGCATCACTGAAGCCCTTAGAAACCTGACAGTCAGCTGCAACACGTGTGCAATTAATGTTTTTTTTTTTTCAAACTGGGAGGACCAAAACATTCAGGATATCAGCTCACTTAAGCTCACCAAAGGTTTATATGTCCATACCACAAAGACTGGGGCTTGGAAGTACATAAAGTACACATCCATCCATTTTCTGAAACCACTTGCCCTATTCAGGGTAGTGGCGGTCTGGAGCCTATCCTGACGTAACCCCACGGCAACACAGGGAGAACAAACAAACTCCACACACATGGAGCCATGGCAGAGACTCAAACAGTGCCAGGGGACAGTGCCAACCACCGCGCCACCATGCCACCCCCAAGCGCAAATTGTATCTCTTAATTCCTGCAAAGAGCAGAGTCCAGCTCTCAGTGCAGCCCCCAGCTCTGCAGTTTTGATGTTGGCCTCCCTCTGTGTTATGGACGTGATGGACATGATTGCTGCAGTGCTGACCTACATGTCCTGTAGATGTGAGCTTTCCACTTACGCTGATTGTGGTCCCGCAATTCACACAGCCATCAGCTAAAGGTAAAGGGCTAAAATCTCAGATCTCCTAATGCTCTGCTGCCACAGTCTATGGATTAACAATCACAAAAAAATAGCTACATTTCTGATGTGTAAACAACAAAATGTTGTTTAGCACCTACATGTAAACGGCTCCCATAATGTGTCTCGCGTGATTATGCTTGTGTTGCTCCTTTGACAAATTGATGCACATTAGGTTTGCTTCACAATGAGAAGCCCATGAATTAGATTATGGAAAATGCAGCAGTAACACATGTGATGGACAAGAGTCAAAATAAAGTCCATATACCTGTATTCGCAGAATGTGTCATCATTCATGCCCTGTGACTCTACGTCTGGGTGCAGGTCCTCCTTTTCCTTGACTACACAGTGCAGAAGAGAAGCATTCAGAAAATCAACAATGTCTCATGATAAGTCATAATAAGAGACATGCATCTTGTCAAATGATATGCGATGTACACTGTCACATTTCTGTAGTGGCTCCCATTCATAACCCCCAGGCATTCTGAGGATTATAGATATTCGCAGAATTGTATGGATAGTTTTCATTCCTCCAAAACTGCTATTTGGTTGAATCCCTCCAGGATTAAGTTACACGAGGCTATTAAGTTAAGCTGTATTGCTTTAGCTTAAGTGTGTATATATATAAATACACACACACACACACACACGTATATAACGAATGACTTTTTTGAAGGGAGGGAAAAGCAGGAGGTGAGGAGAGTTTTTTTTTGCCAGCTTCTGAAAGGCAAAGGATGACTTTCGTTTTTGTTATGTCACTGTACTATTTGATACTAGTGGCGAGTGAGCAGTGCAGCACATCTCAGCTTTTGCTCTGACTCCTGGTCTCTCACATTCCAGGTTATAAAGTTTGAATGTAAAGCGGTAAGACTCAGAGACTCCAGATAAGGAGCAGAAGCTCTAACACAAAGTCAGGCCTTCAGAAGATCCCAGGGGAGCTAAAGGAACTAAATGGCTAAATGTGTTTTCATCTGCGCCTTCCCCTATTTGGTCTGTGACCTCCGATGTCCTTGTACATTGTTGATGTGGTTCTTTTAGTAATTGGAATTCCAAATAACACTGTAACGGCAAGAAAGGAAGACAACGATCCAGAGAGGTCCTGAAGTACCGCTATGATTTTCTTTTTGGTCAGCTTTAACGGGGAAAGCTCCTATATGGATTTCCATATCTCATACAGGGGAAACTGCCTTTCACTGGTAATGAGTTTTCTGTAAAAAAAAAAGAGCACTTACCAGAATATTTGCCCCCTTTATTTCTGTTGATGAAGCAGGCGATTAGGACCGTAAGTGTAAGAAAAGCCACCGCGCACATTAACCCAATAAACCAGCTTTGTGTGGATATGCCTCCGTGAATGCTGGCCAGACCTGTTGAAGAGAAAACACCTTGATTACAATCAGCCTTAACCTTGTCAGACATTCACCATGTCCTGTCTGGCTTTAACTAGCAGGCAGAATACTTAGAACGACGTAAAACATTGTCCCACTAACAACAAATATCTATAACAAGCTGGTTTATTCAAGAGGGGAAAACTTGGGGCTAGTGTCAAAGATAGACAGAGCAAACTAACAAACGAGAACTGAACATTCTAGAACATTCTCTCACAATTCAACTTATTTTCATCAAATTGATTTCATGCTAATATCATAGACCGGTTTTGAATAAGATGTCTGTCATTTCATTTTAGCGTGCTTCTTACATATCAGTTCATTTTGTTCCTTTCTTCCTTTTCAAGCACAGTCCCTCATCATCTCACCTTTCCCCCTGGTCTTGATAACATCTTCAAAAATACTAGAATTATCGACCCAGTTCTTAGTCAAAAGGCGCACAGTGTACACGGTCCCGGGTTCGAGCCCTTGAATGATGTGGAAGTTCCTAGAGGTGTTTACTGCCTCTGAGATCTTCCAGTTACCTTCACCTACAGAAGGTGCACAGTCAGGAATGATCATGTGTCATGACACTAGCTGCACACACATGCACAAAACACTGAGGATGATTTCCTTCCTAATCGTTCCAGTTTTGCTTCAGCCAAGTCAGCAGTGTTAACATACGATACGATATCCCATAATGTATAAAGCCATTAGTCGATGTCTAATTTTCTTATCCATGCTCAGAAAATACACATATCAAACAAATAAACTGACTCATCAGACGATTGGCTGCATAATGGAAACAGTATCATTTTAACCTCTTTCACAATATCAAAATTAAGAAAGAAAAAATCAGCTTACGGTTATTCTTATACGCAACATAAAATTCTGCATCCTTGTGCTCGCTCGCTGGAATCCAGCTAATTTTTGCAAAGTTGTCGGTTACATGGGAACTAATATTCAGGAGGGTAGGGACTGGGGGATAGGGGTGGAACAGGAGAGAGAAAGCAAGAAGAAGTGGAAAAGGTTAGTGGGTTACTGAAGATGAGGCAGAGAGGCCATCCACAGGAACGGATCCCACAGAAGACGGTCCCACCTCGCTGAAGAGGAAGTGGCTCAACAGAACGGAGATTTTAATATCATGCACGATGTATTACAGTATGAATTGAAAGCAGATGATCTCACTATCACGATAAACACTGAAGACGGCAGAGACAGCACGCAGTACGCCTCCGTGAATGTAACTATGGTGATGCCAGTCAGCTGGAGATGTGCGTTTTGTTTGCCAAAGCTATTACACACAGTATGTTTCCTACAGAAAGGCCTTGGCTGTTGTATCCGACCTTCTGCTGAGCGGGCAACACCTGGTGCCCCAGCATAGCGTGTCTCCCGCACCTTCAGCTGGTCGTCACGGCTTCTCGCTGCCAGGAGAACGCTGCCCACCCGCACTCGCCCGTCCGCTGCCTCCTCATGAACAACCCACCCCGTAGTGCACGGTGGACTTTGGCACGAGCGTCTGCCCTCGCCAATGTTTAACCACCTGATCTTAAGGTGACCCTGCATCCAGGACGCTGGCATTGCACGCTAAGTCAAAGCCCGGTAATGATCTGCCGGATTAATATTTACCTTCACTCGATGTAATTGCAACTTTGGATAAATAAATATGAATAATGAAAGGCGATCTCACCCGTGGAAAGTTGGGGAAACCACTCATTTGAACGCTTATCAAACCGAGAGCATTAACCCAGGGCCGACCCCAGCCTGTGACTATGGAAATCTGCCGCTGGATTAATACACAGCGGCGGCTGATGAGTCACAGAATCACAGGGCTAATACCAAACTGACTGATTTGTTTAGTCACAATCAGCTATGATTTACTCACAATCAAGGTGAATAAAGCGCAGTTGCTTTGAGGATAATTACCTTAATAATAATGGATGGCAAGACTAAATTACATAATTGCTGTTTAATTATACCACTTATTAATAGAACTCATACAGACATATACAGCTCTGTATCTTGTCCATGTTACCTGATGGCGTGTACAAATGCAGCAGCAAAGTAACTGTTTAATATTCATTTTCTTTTAAAACTAATAAATATTTTAAAATATATTTTTATATTATATAATATGGGAAGTGTTCAGTAATCACCAATAGAATAAAAGCTTACTTTTACAAAATACTAAGACTACCAAATCCAAAATCTACATATTTGCAAATATGTATTTGTCAACCAGTAGTAATGCTTCTCTAAGCATATTTCCAAACATCTAACAAACATCCATCTATAAATCCATCCAATCATCCATCCTTCCACAACTGCTCATAAGGCCTGATACAGGAGACGCCCTGAATGGGATGCCAGTCCATCACAGGGCATGATGTGTGAGCAAAGTGACTGTAAACATGATGGAGTAACTGGTGCCAGACACGGGGACTCCAGCTTGACGGAAACTGCTCCCCTCCTGGGATTTTCACACTCTGCACTGTATCCCAGGCTCACAGAATTGTGTAATAAACAAAAAGCACCCAGTCAGCAGCAGTCCTGATGCTCAAAACACCGTGTTAATGAGAGAGGCCAGAGGACAATGGCCAGACTGTTACGGATAACAGGAAGGCCACAAGTGCTAAAGCAGCAGCTTTGTACAGCAGCGGTGTGCAGAAATGCTCCACTGCTCCAAGATCCTCAGGTGACAAAAGGGGGCTCCTGTGTGACACTACAGTATATAGGTGTATCTAATAAAGTGGCCACTGAAAGTAGACTTAGTGTTTACGTCTAGACCAGCGGAATTGAAAAGAAAAAAGCTGAGCTTGCAGTTATCTTTATGTAATGTATCATTTTCCAAAGGAATGTTGCATAGTAAATTGGCAATAAGACAATAATTGGCAATAATTCAAATCCTTTGGATTTTTTGCCTATTTTAGTCCATTACAATAAGAGGAACAGAACATTTAATTGATTTGTTACATTTGTGGTTATGACTTGAAATTAGGAAATTAGTAACTAAGAAAATAAACTATAGGAAGAGCAACAGAAATAGAGCAATTATTTTTTATGATGTTTTATACTGTACATTTTCTGCATATCTTTATTTGCTAACATAATAGGAAATTAAGCTCAGTTTTCATCTTTAAGGTTTTTATCTCTCTTATCTGTAACGCAAAATTGTCTTTCTTTCCTTTTTCGCTTTATTGTAAAGGGATTGTTTAACAGCTGAATTTTACCCTCAGATCAATAAGCACTTGTTCTTTCGTGACAATGATGAATGAAACCCAGGGAGATATACTTATGATATTGCTTACCCACAAAAGGATGCTTGGATGGAAAAATGAAAATATTGAACGTGTGGCAGCCCTCCTACACATTATCTTTGTTCTCTGAGGTCAGTCATGTGACAGTGACCCCCCCCCCCATCAGCTCCTGCCCGGCATGCAGCCCCGGGGGCCCCTCCTGCCGGGGCCCGGGGCCCCTGTGACACTCACTCGCTTCGAGGGCAGTGGTGCTCTCCTCGCTGACGGCCGGTCCGCAGCCCACTCTGGAACAGCCTCTCAGGTAGAACTTGTAGCGGCTGACAGGCTCCAGGTTCTCCAGGACCCATTTGTTGGTGTCAGGAGAGCTGATATTAATGGATTGCAGCTTCCCCAAGTCTTCAGTGTCATTGACTTGAAATGACAATGCAGGGTGAATGTTAGAGCAGGACGGACACATCAGACACTCACAGTAACCGACTTAAGGTGAGCTACCGTGCCTTTAACCTTAAACTACTAAAATTCATTATCCATTTTAATGTACTTTCACAATTACAACACGTGATTATAAAAATACAAAAACGAATACCACACTGACATGTTCTGCGTTCATTCTTATACTATTTAGGTTTATAAGTTCAATTTGCTAAAAAGTCATCCATTTGATGAATCTTTGTGGCTGAATATGACAGTTCAACACCTTTGTATCTGTTCAGTTCCTCTGACACCATGGGGTGGAAGGCGGAGCTTATTATGTCCCACATGACACATGAGTGCTTCCACTGGGACCTAAAAATCCATACTCCAAAAAGATTTAACCTTCTCATTTATATGTTTATATAACTTTCCTATATCAGGATAGGTGCATGACATAATATTATTCTTGAGGAAATGCTATAAATATTAACCAATGAAAATACATTAATATACAGTGCATTTACTTGAGCGGAATAAAAACAATATATATTTTTTCAGGTTGTTAATCCTCAGGCAGCTTTACACTGCATCCTTGACGCTATGTAAATGTACTGAATTGTTCACTGGACATTCCACTGATGATGCATAATGCATGGAAATCCATTTTTATAAGCTATGCATTATTTGATATTGATTTCTGCTAAAATAACATGCTGGAACAAGCTCTTTAGTGGAATTTCTCGATAAAAACTGATGACAGTCTGAAAAGTCATTATTTCCCCACCATGGTAGGTGTATAATCTTGAATGATAAGAAAAACAATTTATAATAGACCGTTATATGTTTGTTACATTGTGCGGGGAGTGCCACTAAGACTTTAGTAGGTTTACAAAGGGCAAATGTTTACAGTTTATGTATCAATAAACAAATCAGCCATATAGTTTAAACATTATAATGCTGATTATCATGTTTATTAATGGTCTCATAAGGAACATGAGGAGAAATTCTGAACGGATTGTCTGCGCAGTGAATCCCGGTTTCGGTGCCAGGTTGGCTGGGGTCTCCGAAGGCCATAGCACCCCCCCCCCACTCAAAGTCATTAGCGCTGTAACGAGATGAAGCCATCAGGAACCCTCAATGCCCAGCCATGCTGTCTCTGTCAAGTCCTGCACTGGCCTCACTGCAAGGAGACCCAGTGCATCACCAGTACCCGCCTTCGTGGACGGTGCCGATACACTGTATGGACAGAAGTACTGGGACACCAGCTTGTCCAATATCTCACTCTCAGTCAAAGGGCATTAATGTGAAGCTAGCTAACCCTTAGTCGCTATAACAGCCTGCACCGTTCTGGAAAGCCCAGTGGGTGTGGCTTATGTGGCCCTTTCCTATAATTACTAAAGGTGTCCCAATACTTTTGTCCATATAGTGTAGCTCCGCCTTCATGGATGATGTCTGACAGCTTGCCAAGTCATCACACCAGATGATTTTTGAGAGGATACCTACTTGCAGTAGAAGAAATATTTTCTTTCCGAATCAAGTTATTATTTCAGTCTATGCCGAATACTCACATTCCACTTAGCATTGAAATACACAACATTAGTCAAACACAGTTCTTCCTAAACCTGTCCTGTAAGTTGGCAATATTTTAAGAAGTTGACAGTTTTAGGCAATAAACAGCCGAGGCAAGTTAAGCTGTTTATTTGTAAAGGATGGCTTTCTTCATGGTGCAGCTTGCAGAAATTGGCACTGTGCTGCATCCCTGTGGTAAGATCAGGCTATTCTCTTCACTTCCAGTAGCAACCATCCGCTGAGAGACGGGAAAATGTCAGAACTGAATTATACCAATCAGGTGCACCTACTCAGCTGATATTCCAGGAAATAGCCGGTGAGGACGCCGTTGGCCTCTAGAGGGGGCGCCCAGACAAGCGTGATGGAATTTCTTTGGGCATTAGTGGCCCTCAGTATTGGGATTTGCTCAGGAACTGTGGGAAGGAAAAACAAAAGTCAGCTTTCCAGCTTTTAGAGTCTTTACGGTCTGCTTGGTTGCAGATTTTACCTAATTGTGTTGGACAGAGGGGACTTCCGCTTTGCCTTTGAGGCCGGTGCTCTAACACCTCCATTTCTCTTACCTCCCTCTGGGGTTTTGAAGGTCACTGAGTGGCTCCCCGGCCCATTTCCCCTTCCATTGAATGCCACGACAATCAGACTGTACTCAGAGAAGGGTCTCAGGCCTGGGATTATTGCATGGTTCCTGTCCCCTGGAAATGTCAGCGAATGCTTCTCCCCCTGGCCTCTCTGCGAGTCCAGAAGGCTCCGGAACCTCCACCAGTTCACCTAAGCCACCACATGAGACAGCGTGGTTTAAGGCTTCAGGGAGCTACAGGAGGGCAAGTCTGCTGCTGTGACTGAAAATGCTGTAAGCAGTTATGCACATTAAAAAGGCAGAGGATCCAACAAACTCCAACAAAATCCAAGAAAGACGGAAAGATTTTACGATCCAGTGGGTTTAACGAGGGATCAGAAGACATAGTGAGGGATACGAACAAGGTGTCTCTATCCCCTTCTTCCATCCATGTAAAAAGTGCAATAACATTTACGGAGGAATTATTACCCTGTATCCTCCCAGGTGCCCGTTCAGCTTGTCCTGGGAGACGTGAGCCCAGGTGACCTTGATCAATGTGTTATTCAAGACGTCGATGGCCACGTCTTCTGGAGCCGCAGAAGGGACTGCATGACAAGATACAAACAGAAAAATCGTCATGAGAGCTCTTGCTAAAGAAGTTACTGGATCCCAGGTGCGAAGTAAAACGTTAAATAAGAAAAACACAAATAAATGCACATGGAAAGTGAATAATATACAAGTGATCTTTCTTTTGAAAGCAATTTTCAGAACCATCATGTGATGCGACAAAAAGAAAAGAGAGACAGACAGATCTTTTAAAGTTCATGATTACATGCTAACAATGAACAAACACCCCCAATGTAAGGAAGACACGAGTAATGATCAAAAACATCCATCAACCAATTATATCATACAAAAACAAGACTTTTAATAATCTGATGGTGAAGAGCACTAATTAGAGAATAAAAACTCAAAAACAAAATAATTTTGCAAAAAAAAAAAAAAAGCACACATCTTCTCTAAAGCAATCGTGCCCCTGCCGGCCAAATTGCCCCTCAGCCGAAAGGGCCAAAATTATCTGGATGCTCCGAAGAAATTGTTGGTGCTTGAGAGTGCAGCCCCCCCCCAGGGGCTTCGACCTCCCACCCTAAAGGCTGATTCATACTCCTTTGTTGGGTTTATGCAGCCTTACGCTGTGGTCTATGCGACTGGACTATGCCGTCATGGCCATTCAAACTCCCGCGGGGTCGGAATCGCCGGATCAGGTACGGGTCAGGCTATGGTATAAGATACACAGCTACGGCGTACCTACAGCATACCAACAGTGTACATTGTACACAGAAGTATAAATGAACCTTAACCCGTCAGGGAACGTTGAGAGATGTTCACACCTGCATCTCAAGCCATTGCACCCGACGGAAAAGAGATGTGCTCTTTGCACCCTCACATGAAAGTGAATCCAGAGCTGGTCGAAGGCCATCATCTGGGATCCTCAAATTCTATCGCTGTATCAGACTGTCAAAAGTTGAGTAACAGGGTATGGGGATACAGGGTATGGGGATACAGAAGATACCACCATTGAGGAATCAGAAACAGTGACAAAGACTAGTATGGATCCTGTCCGTTGAAAGGATGGAAATACCACAAAGGTGTCATGTTTCTGGCAGAAGCACAAACATTGACTGGGTACAGTCAGTTTGAATCCTTGAAGGCCAGTCTTAGAATGAGTTTCAATTTCAAAGTAAGATGACTTAGCATTAAATCTCTTTTAAGGTAACCTGAACCAAAGGACTTCAGTCCCTCAAGGATCCTGCTGAGGAACAGTGCATGGGGATTAATCAGTATCAACAAACTGCTTAAATATTCTAGCTAAAACTTCAGCGGTCTTTTCATTGCTGAATTTCACTCATTCATCTAACCAGCACTAGAGTAATAGCATGTGTACTTACAGTCTTCTCCAGAATAGCCAATCACCACTTTGGGTTCTGGCCCCCAACCCTGGTGGTTCTTGGCCTGGATCTTGATTTCGTACGGCACAAAGGTGGGGGTGTTCTTCACAATGAAGGAGTGCCTTTTCACCACAAATTCCTTCCATTTCTCTTCTGCGTTTTTACGTCTGAAGCTCACCTTGTAATCCAGGCCTGGACCATTGTGTTCAATGGGCAGCAGAGGCTTAAAAGATAAAGACGTCACAATTAATCTCAATATATCCTGCCAGAGAATGATGTGAGATTTGGTCGTTACTAACTCAGTAGGATGTCATATTATATTCATTACTTTGTAGTAAGTTAATTGCATTATTGCATAATCATGATATTCGTACTACCAAAGACCAAAATATAATTAACGGAAACCAGGAGTCGGAAAAGAGCAGCATGAATCACAGCGAAAGCAAATGAGCAATAACAGATTATTCAGAAACGGTCGTCAGTTGAACTGATGGAAAATGTGGTATGGCAAGAGTAATGTTCCCTCACTGCAAAGTACACAGAGAATATTTAAATGTTTCTTTGTCTGTTTGTTTCTTTGTCTGGGGAGGTTATTAAGTCAAATGTATAACTGAAAGATAAACACTCTCACTACTGGAAGCAAAGCTGTTGACGACCCACTTGATGAAGAACAGTTGACATCTTTAATTTGTCTTACCTCCCATTTAATATCCATCTCATCTGGCAAATGACCTTCAATTTTGATATTTTCGGGATTCCTGTCAGGAGCTAAAAAGTGAAATGCGCATTTTTTCAAAAATGCAATTGACAAGCATTAAATTTTTAATATGTTATACGTGAAAGAGGATGTAAATGGTTTTTGGAAACTTTTCCCTGCATTAGTTAGTCCACGAGGAACAGTGTGATCTCAATACGTGCAGTTGCTTAGCTGTGCAGCAGGTGACATGGTGGTTATGGACTTTGTCTTGCTGCTGGTTAAAATCTGAATAGGACCTATGCTGTAAGGCCCTTGAGGAAGGTGCTTTACCTAAATTTATCCAGTTGTATATGTGGGTAAAAACTGTGAGTTCCTTTGGGTGAATGGCAGCTAAGTAGCTAATCAAGTACGAGGTTACGTGGAGAGAAAGTGAACCTGAAAATAAGTAAAAGGTATTGATGAACAGAATCAAGCTTCATGAACCATTTGCTATATTTTTTGACCCCACTAGATGGTGCTCTCTGTTCAAGAAAGGGCACAAAGTATGTCCCAAAGCAAATTAGTGCGGTCAAAAAATACAGCAAATGGACCATGAAGCATCGTTTTGTCAATTACTAGTAGAAGGGGAAGAAACCTGCAGGAGGAGTTTTGTATCGTCTGGTGGGTTCACTGAACTCTCCTCTTCCTACAGCATTCATTCCAGCCACTCGGAACCGGTAATCCACATGTCCGTGTAGCTTAAGGAGAGCCGAGGTCTGATTTCCGGCGACCTGGACCATCTCCTTCCACTTCTCAGGTTCCCACTGGCTCTCTTCATATTCAACAATGAACTCTGTTCACAGAACAAACACGTGTCTGACTCTATACACGGTTGGGTGTCCCATCGAGAGTCCATAGGTACTTTATCTAGACATCTGGTTTTCAGCTCTGTCAGTGTCCAAGGTGCTTGCTTTCTTATCAGATGAAACTGTCAATAAATATTGTGAAAACTGCCCTGTCCTCCTTCAGAAAATGAGCGTTATTAGAGGCCATCATAAATTCATTGGCATTTCCGTTTTAAGCCACGGCGTCCTTCTTCGGCCTTCGGTAATGTTTACTACTTTTGGTTTCCTGCCATTTGTTCCCAGCGAGGTCAGATGAATGTGCTTATTACCTGTGGTCGAACTGTTGTGGTCGTCCCCAGGCACCCACTTCAGTCTAACACTCCTGTCTTTGTGTTCAAACAGGACCAAGTCGGTTGGTGTATCAGGGACGTCTAAAGCAATAACAGCAAGAATAGAACACTGTAATACAAAAATCTCGTGTTTCGCTCCTACTGTTTACTCTGATTGACAATACTGAAGATAAAGCACAGAGGAAAAAAACTTGGAGTTTAATGTTTTTTTTTATCTCCAGACCTGCAAATTGGTGAAAATGGTGTGAGCTAGTGATGGACAAAATGACAAAATGAATCATTTGCTGTATCTTTTGACCCCACTAGATGGTGCTCTTGGGTTGCTTTGGGTCATGCTTTTTACCCTTTTTTGAACAGAGGGCACCATCTAGTGGGGTCCAAAATTACAGCAAATGGTTCATGCAGAGTCATTTTATCCATCCCTAGTGTGAGATATGGTCGAGGTTGATGGTGTTTTGTGTCTCCTCGGATGAACTCTCTCACTCACCCAGCACTATGAGATGTGCAGAAGCTATGTCCTGATCCAGTGAGGTTCTGGCCCGGCAAGTGTACATGCCCTGGTCTTTGTGGCTCACGTTGGCAATCTGTAGTATCCCATCATCTGCAAAATATCTACAGAAATACACTTTAAATGAAACAGAAAACACTGGAGAAAGTGATAACTGCTGTGGCACTATACATTTTGGCATAGTATGCACTATATTCCATTCATCCATCCATCAAGTTTCTATACCCACTCGTCCTATTCATCGTCATGGGGGTCCAGAGCCTAGGCCAGGGGTGGCCAGTCTTATCCGCAAAGGGCCGGTGTGTGTGCAGGTTTTCGCTGCAACTCCCTAATTAGATTACTAATTAGAGGACTGATTGGCTGAAGAGTCCTCACGCCTGGGTTTGAACAGCTGACCTAAAGGTTATCCCAAAAACCTGCATACATTCCGGCCCATTGCGGATAAGACTGCCCACCCCTGTTAAATTAACAAAAAAAGGTTCATTAGGAACACTTCAAAGATATCTCCATCTTACCCCATACTCTCTGTGAGGTTGAAGTCTAACTCCATGTCATCCTTCTCCCAGGAGATCTCAAGGTCACCTCTCAGGGACTTATCGTAGTCAGCTTGGCATGTGAATTGGGCTGTGGTTCCTCGTAAAATACGCAAGTCCTGAGGTGGATCCACGATTCGGGTAGGATCTGAGATACGTGGAGCAGAATGGCATCAAATCTGTCTGTCTATCTATATATCTATCTAGCCCTCCCTTTTCTAATACAGGGTGAGTCTATCCCAGGGAAGAGTCAGACGAATAATCTGGGAAGGATTCTGGTTCCTCACACAGCAAATTTTATGTGTATTGAGAAAACCTCTATACACATACAGACATACATGTACCAAAACATACACACGTATGTGTACTCAAACATATACATTGCTGCAGGTTTAGCTACTGTGCCACCCTGAAATACAAATATTATTCATACCTTTTATATCCAGGTTTGCAGTAATTGCTGATTTCCCTTCCATATTTGTAGCAAAACACGTGTATTGTCCATTGTCCTCTTTTGTGACATAGTTGATTTCCAGTGATCCGTTCTCATGAACAAAGAATCTTTCTCCATCGACAGGCTTTGCTGTGTCGTCCTTCACCCTGTAATGCCATGGACACATGACTCTGCATGCATGAGCACAGTTTGCATCACAGCAGGTTTTACTAACAAGCACAATGATGAGAGGTTTGGATGGAGACCCAAAACAGTGAAAACCTCCTCACATCTTACTGATTTCCATCAGTCATACCGCTGTTATAGCATGAATCATCACAAAGGTGATCGCTACATGCCCAGACATGAACTTCAGCACAAATAAAAGAAGTCGGCAAGTCAGTTTCATGCAGAAGGCTTTGTACTGTGGATCTTTTTGTGAATGTATTCAATGCATAACAAAAAACCCTTAGTCTGATCAGCCTGGGAGGGTAGGGCTCCTAATGTTTGCAGATGAGATGAAAGGACTCAGTGCTGTGGGGAAGCTGATTGGTCTCTCACCAGCTGATTGTAGCAGGTGGAGAGCTGAAAACTTTGCAGTGCAGCATCACATTCCTGCCCACCACCGCAGCGTACTCCTGGGAATCCCCAGTCAGGATCATCGGGAGCAGGTCTATAAAGAGATTGGTTAGAAGTAGTGATGGGCAAAATGACGCATCATGAACCATTCGCTATATTTTTTGATCCCACTAGATGGTGCTCTTTGTTTGCTTTGGGGTATGCTTTGTGCCCTTTATTAAACAGTGAGCACCATCTAGTGGGGTCAAATATTACAGCAAATGGTTTGTTAAGTGTCATTTTGTCCATCCCTAGTTATAATGTGCACTTCTATGAGACAAATTTGTCAAGGGCTACACCATAAGGCAGGGGGGCGAGCTACAGAAAGAATGTCAAAACCAGGAGCCAAAAGCAGAGACTTTCAAAGCTTCACCCTGATTGCAACTCTATAGAGATCGCTTGTGCTTTTTGGGGTTTGGGGGCTGGTTCACCTTGAAAACTGAGAAAATATGTCCCTCCAGCACAGCTCAAAAGCAGTTTCTGTATGGACATTGTGACCAACCACGCGAATATTACTCTGCATTTATCAACAATTCTAATTAAACTCGAAGACAGATGGGTAAAAAACTATTGCTGAGAAACGTAAGAATGATAAAAACACCATTAAATATGGCTGTCAGGGCTAATCGCTCTGACTGAAATTAGCCAGTTTTAATATTTTGAACAAAGAGGGCTATAAATTACAAAAAAAAAAAAAGTGGAGTTGAAATCCTTCACAGGAGAGAGATGTAGATCCAGAACGCTCAGTGGAATCACTTCTGCAGGTCATTCACTGTACTGTACTAGGTGCCCACTGAGCTTTAGCTATCTCAGCCACGAAGACACAAGCGACGCATCGTCCGTCATCCGCACAAGTAAGCTGTCCGCAAGAGTCACCATCTGGCTCAGTCTATGTCACGTTATCATTTCAGCATGAATAAAAGTGCAGCCCATCCTGTCTGACTGCTTCATCCACCTCTGATTATTAATGTAACACTAATATATCATTATTTAATTAGCTGGTAGGAGGAAATGATAAAAAACGATAATAAACACTCCATGTATTGAAAACCTGTTTGCAATCAATGAAGAAATGATTTTTGCAAACATGCCCTTTTTCTATTGCATTTTCAATAGGATGACTAAATATCACCTCAGGTAGAGAAACGGTAAATTCTGTTTTGCACATATAGACAGTCGTGTGAATTAACAGGCGTCCGGGAAGTACAGGCATACTCACTCATGACCAGGATGTTAGCATTAGCTAAGAGGGTCCCATGCCGGTTGGAGGCCTCGCACTGGTACACAGCACTGTCTCCAGGCTGCACATTATGAAGGCTAATGGTATCGTAGGAAACCTTCCGTTTTGATACTGGCACATCTAAATCAGAAAAACAAGGCAGCATGTAGTGACAGGAAACGTCAGCAGGAGGTGCACGACGGGTGGGCAGCGAGTGCGTTTCTCCTACATACCACTAGGGGCCAGTCCGTTTACTTTCCACGTTATCGTGGGCTGAGGTAATCCAGCGGCAGCACACTTAATGAAGACATCAGCGCCGATCATGCTTATAAGGCTCTCAGGCTTCTCGGTCCATCTGGGCGGCTCTGAGAAAGAAATATGAAAGGGTCACTCACTCTGTCCCTCTTGTGCTGGTTTGGATTTAGCAAAGTCGCTGTCCGCTGATAGAAGTTGCCCTGACGACATAAGGTGCAATTTAAAAAATGAACACTAGATGGTGCTCTCTGATACAAAGTAGTTTCAAATATCATTTTTATATAGCTGTGTATGGAAAATGTATCGCTTACATTAACATACTAACATAACACTAACAATATTACAAAGAATATTGTGATAACGTCATTAATTTGAATTGTGCATTATATTAAGAATGCAGTGACTTTATAGACTGTGTCTTCCCATAATTTACCTTCCACTGTTACATGAAACTTATGGACAACTTCTCCAATGGAGTTCTTGGCTTTGCACGTGTATTTCCCGCTGTCAGCTTCATGGACCCTTGATATCTTCAGCAGTTTCCCATGGCTCTCCACTTTTGCGCGATCAGGCAGCACAGAGCCCATTTTGGTCCATTCGATTTTTGGAGTAGGGCTTTTTGCACAGGAAGTAAGAATGTGATATAAGTAACAGTACGATTGGAAGAAGTGCAGCTGACGTAATGTCTGCGAGCAACGAGGCCGTTTACTTACAATCCCTCTGCAATGCACTCAAGCTCCAGTTCCTGCTCTTTCACTAGCCTGACCTCCGTCTGACCACCAGAGGGCACCAGAAGACTGGGTTTTCTTTCCATGAGCGCATTGGCTTTGAAAGTGGAAAGAGGAACTGTTCTTGGTTACATCATCCTTTGGTTAAGTTAAAAACTAATCTTGATCTTTTCAGTTTAGCCTATGATGGTATTGTTTAGGAATGAAATTTGGAAATATCTGGACCTTGTCCTGTGTATAGATATACAGTATATCAAAGATATGGTAGACATTCACCTTCATCGAAGGTTGCAAGGTGGGGACATCTCATGGCGCACAAGGTACAAAGTTGGAGTACACCGTGGACGAGATGCCGTTACATCACGAGGCGCGCGCACACACACGCACACGCGCACACACGCACACACTCACACACACATACATTATGGGCAATTAAGAAACTCCAATTAGCTTAAATGCTTTGCACTGCAGGTGGAAACTAGAGGAATAACAGAGGGGAAACTCACAGACTCCACAAACACAACAGAGAGGGGATTTGAGCTCCCAAAGCAGCACGTCTGAGCCAGCACACATATATACACACATACATACACGCAGATATACACACATACATACACACAATACATACACGCATATACTGTATACATACATACATACACATAATACATACACGCAATACATACACACATACATACACATAATACATACACGCAATACATACAAACAATACATACACACAATACATACACACATATATACACACATACACACAATACATACAGCTTCGAAGCTTGAATTAAGCCTAGAATAAAATGCAAAAGGGCAGTTTACCCCAAAAAAACTGAAAAAGATGTGTTTTCCACACGAGCTCCTCGGGCTCGTATCTTCTGCCCAGTGATATGATTGGTGTGTGGAGTTCGGTAGAAGGAAACAATCCATGCATTAAACTACTCACTACAAAGTCTGTGGATTATCTTTAATAACCGGGTTATAATTTCTGGTAAGAGACATTGCTGTTGAATTTTTCAAATGTATTTTATTTGAGTTTTAATCACCACAGAAAGAATGTTATTCACTTCCACTATACTTCAGAGAAGCCGGACATTTCTATGATTTCAAAACAACACTTCTCCCAGTAGGACGACCTTGGTGGATAGAGAACACTAAAGACCCTCTAAAACCCTTTCTCAGTTTTGGGGTGAACAGCCCCTTTAAATAACGGACATCTGAATGAAATAACCACTACAAAGAATGAACAGTAATATTAGTTACAATGTCATGGCGAGTGTAAATATGTGTGATGTTAAACATGGAGTGTGCGATCCCACTCACCACGGGTACCAGACTCTGAGCCACTGATAGATGTAGCTGAAATGGAATAATGGGAAACATAAAGATTGTGCCAAACGCAAGCATGCCTGAAACACACTAGGTAGGCGTGCGTATGTTCATGAATGCAAACACCATCTATAAGAGTCCGTTCGCATATGGAATACGATGATATTGAGAGAGGAGACACGTTGACTGGTTACGTCTGCGAGGTTGCCCTAGAAACACATACTATTCCTGACGATGACGGACATGGCCGTCTTCTGCACGATGGTGCGTATCCGGGGAAAGGCCGCGAAGCAGCAGTAATCTCTGCGGCTGTCCTTCTCCAGGGCATTTGAGAAATACAGGTTCCCGTTGAGGCCCATGGAGACCCTCTCGTCCTGCTCAATGTGCTGCAGACCTGAGTGAAAAGAAGCAAAGAATGGGCAGCGAAAGAGGCAGCGCTGGAGCAGAGCACCTCTCAGCCGCCGTTGAGGAGCAATGACCTCCGCTCCATAAGCACCATTCAAAGCCAGGTCCCCTTGCTCTCTTTAAGCCACTGCACCCAAATGGCTGCTCATTAACCAAAGCAAACGCAGATGAACCAAACTCTGAGGAGATTAAAGATGTGGGGAGCAGGAAGCACGCGTGCTGGGTATTCAAGGCTTTCTCGATGGATTTTCCCTTGAGTTCAAAATATAGTGAATAAAACTTAAACTCTTGTTGGATCACACCCCAGAATGTCACGAATCTCTGTGTTCTGATCTCTATTGTTAAAATAAAATAGCGGTATGACTGAACCATTAACTATTAAGCCGATTTAGCTTTACAGAATAAGTTCTTTAACATTTTCATACATTCGTCTGAGTCACTTGTTTTTTCTTTTTTTTGTGGCGTATAAACTTAGCGACTGGGACCCACAATGGCTAATTTCCTTGTGACTTCTAAAGAGCATTTTTGGGTTGAATGTGTCAGCAATTCTCTGTGGTTAAACACACAGAAAAGCCCCCATTGAGCTGCGAGACAGCGGCGAGACTGTCATTGACAGGTGGCCACTCCTCCGCGCTATGAAGGGGCAGAAAAACGCCAGAGGTCTGAGGGGGACAAAGGAACAAAGGCCAGGAAGGGGACAGGCGTGGGGATCGCTAAATAAGAACTTCTCTTAACAACTGTACACATGAACTAAAGCGAAATGAGAATCAGACACTTTATAAATAGTCTGAAAATGTGAAATGGGAAAAAAAACTGTTTTCACACTTCTGCATCTGGCCTGAGGGAAAATTTGAAAAGCCTAAGGGGGGGGGGGGGACATTTCCTTAGTAAAGCCACTGTTTTGTTTTTTAGACTATAATTAATTGTATAGTAACAAATAGCTGACAGAATGCATCTCCATATTAGCGCTTCTACAAATCTGTAGAAATACATTCTTCACTTTTAGCTACCCAAGAATATTCTGGAACGTTTCATCATTTCTTATAATTTATTCAATGGATTTGCTATGGCTAAGCAAGCAGCAGTCACCAACACATTAAATCCTCTAATATCAATCTGCCGAAAAGTGCTTTGCAGTAATATTGGACTGTTAGCATGCTCACCTAAGGTCATCCAGTAGATCTGCAATGGGGGGATTCCCTTGGGGGGGTTACACTCCAGAATGATCGGCTGACCCTCGTCCACCACGATGGGGTTAATCTTCTCTTTGGGGAATTTTGGGACGTCTAATTAAATAATAGATGCGTGTGTGAAAACACATTCGGTTTGGTGTTTATAAAAGCACTGCTTAAATCCCATACAACCCTCTTCTGTACGTTGTTCTGTACGTAGTGTCACAATGAAACCATTGCTCTGATACAATATTGTGTAGTTAAGAGCAGCGAGTGTGTCAGAGCAATCAACAGTAGTAAGAAAATTGCTGATATTGTTTTTTATTGTCTGACGTGTTACATATCTAGAGAGTTGGGTGCTTGACACATATCCATCTTCCACAGGCATCATGGGGTCCACTGGCCTGCAATTTCTTTGAAGATTTATGTAGCATGTTCCGAAACGAAAATGGAAAACACACCAGGGTGAAGGAGGGGGCTACACCCCCCCCCCCATTTTTTTCCCCTACAAATCTCCAGGAGAAAATGTAATGGAACTAGAGGGAAATGGTGCTCTAGGGCTTCAGTACTGCTCCACTACACAAGTCCGGGAAATGTACACGATAAAGAAAAACTCGTTGGATTTTCCATTCCGGAATCCATCAGAAGAGGCTGCAGCAAATGACTCGACCTGCGAAGCTCTACTCACTGGGCACGATGAATTCAATCTCCTCAGATATGGCCGTTCCTAGTCTGTTGGAGGCGTAGCACCGATAGGTTCCTTGGTATTCCGTGACGTTTCCGCTATTTGGGATCAGAAATGAGCCGGAATCTTCCTCCTTTATCAATCTGGGATCTTGGTTGGGGTCAAATTCCTGCCCGTTTTTCGTCCACCTATATCTGCGAGAGAAATAACACATAAGCATCAGCCAGGCATCAAAAAGGATCAAAAAGGTGCAGGATTGAATATAGAAGCCCTTTGTAGCGGCTTCTTAGCTACACGACTGCTGCTTGCATGTCAGCATTTCTAACATAAATACAGAACCAAATTACAGATTCAGCACATGGTGGTGTTAGAAACGCAGTGTGCCAGATGCCAGCAGCCAGTGCCCAGCAGCCAGTGCCCAGCAGCCAGTGCCCAGCAGCCAGTGCCCAGCAGCCAGTGCCCAGCCCCAAGCTGGCGAATGTGACTCACTCTGGTTCTGGGTTTCCTCTGGCCTCACACTTCATGGGGTATCTCTCATCGAAGGGGAAGGCGATCACGGAGCTCGGCGATTGCACAGTGAGGCTGGGCAGCTGCTCGACTGGACAAAACAGCAGATTGGCGTGAGCTTGAATAATATTCATTCACTCATCCATCCATCCATCCATCATAATACCTTGGAGAAAAACTGAGACGAGGTCATATTTTTCTTCAATGTGGTATTTTCTCTTCATTTAAACAACAGTGATTTTTTTCATTATACACCACCCCCTCCCATTTGAAAAAGAACCCCTGCCAGCCCCTGTTCATTTGCACACATTGTCATCCACAATCTTATTATAATGCACAATAAAAACACATTATACGTGTGATAATGCAGAAAGTGTCAATCCCATAAAATGTGCAGCGGTAGAGGCAATAAATCCCCAGTGATTTAATAGGATGGTTCTGTCATCAAACAGTGAAATTACTGAACCAACTTACTGTTTAGGTGACCTAACACTACTGAGTCCACGGGAGCATGAAAATGAACACAAACATACTTAGACATTCTGCTACCCTCATATCCTCTTTCGTCCAGTTATCACATGAATAAGCCTCAAGCAGGAATTGGAAATATATTTGTTGCAAAATTAGCATTTCATTATGTATGACATTCAAACTCATGAATACATTTTTAGTAGAGCTTATGTTGCAGCATGTTAATAACTTAAACACAAAGAAATTTCAATATAAACCGAACTCAGTAATAAACATCGTTTAATTAAACGACACCTGTGTTCAAAATGAGCAGAGCTCACGCAGAGTACAATGAGTGTCTCTGGAATCGTTTCAAATGAGATGGCCAGGCGATGACGTCTGTGGACCGATACGGAAACAAAGGCTGATTTGTGGCGGCCAGGATCCAGGCAGATTTAAATGAATCGGCTGTGGCAGCCTTGACTCCGAGAGAGCCACTTTGCGCGATAAGCCCAGGCTCGGCTCTGCCGGGTCCGTCAGCGAGGAGCCGTCCGTCTTTTCGCTCTGAATTTGAACGGAGGCGCTGGCTGCCTGCAAGATAAAGTCCCCGAAGGATTTTCCATTTTCAAGAAGTGCTGTCTGCTCAACTTCAGATATTGGGAGGAAAAGTCAGGAGTGGAACAACCAAAATGGACACCAACGCAAACACTGTTGTCCCAGAAGGTGGCCTGGTGTTACAATGCAAAGCAAAGAGCTGCAACGTTCCAGTATCAAGCTCTATAAATAGATATAAATCATGACAGTGCTTGCTAAGCAGTAAAATTATGAAAATAATGTAAGGAAAAATGAAAGGTTAAAGTGCAGAGAGAGGCAGAGAGTAGATACACACCATCCAGAGGGATGTCAAGGCCACAGGCTGGGTGAAAGATGCTGAGTCTGGAAATCAGACCCAATAAGACAGATACTCCGCAGCTCCATGGTGACGCCATCGCTCTGCTGCAGACCGGAATGGTGTAAATCCTGAGGTGACGCTGCTCGACCGTGTCCGCGGCCTCAGTTCATCTCAGTCAGACGTGCGGTAAAGCACGGCTCCTTGGGGAAGGAGAGCAAGGGTCATGGTGGCGTCGAAGCTCCGGGGGGAAATTAAACCTCACAGTTAAAGCCAGAAGATGGAAACCACAGTGCCTCACACACTTTCATCCAGACATGCAGCCCCATATTTTCACCAAACACACCTTAATCTAATGATTTCTTGACCGTAGTCGGCAACAGTAATAAAATATTATATTATTACATTACAGCATTTGGAATGATGTTTAATATCAGCCCAAGCAAGAGCATAACTCTGGATTGAGCACTCAGGGGGTTGGGGTCCACACCCATTTAAGGGCATCCAGGGGGGTGTATTGGCTGGTTTTGATTATTGGGGGCTTACAATGCTCCCATCCCCCCATAATTTACACTCATGGGCCTAAGTGTTTTAGCTTTATTTAATTCATAGTGACATATTATTTAATACTGAAAAGGGTAGTTTTCTTCATACATTGGTAATAACTATGACCCAGCAAACCAATACTAGCTGATCGAGCAGACATGCATGTTGATGGTCATTATCTCCAACATGATTTGGTGCTCCAAGGACTCCCATCTGACTCGAGACTACAGGAAACCCCCCCACCTCCATCAGAACTGCAGGCGCTGGCAGAGGCGTGACCCACGATGCATCGCGGTGTGAATTCCTCAGCCCTTGTTCATTAACTGTCCTTGGGCTGGCAGGGTGCCAGCTCGTTAGATCGCTTTCACTCGAATTTGTAAGGTACTGTGCAGGAAAGTCCACTTGGGAGCTCACACAATGATTCGACTGCTTCCGCATGCCTTCCTAAGATGCCAAGCGGATTGGCACTGGGAGAAATCTGACGGAGGTCATTAAATCCACAAGAAACCTTGGTCAGAGACTGTTTAAAGATGCACATTCCTCTAACACTCAGGACTGTGTTAAGGTCATTTCTTTTGCAGCAGATGGCATGTTATCAATGAGTTCATTGTACTCATCAGAGCAAATTACTTCAATGTGCTAAACAACAAAAAAGTCCTTTACTGGTGGAGTTATGTCATGTTCTATAGTAGTATTACTTGAGATTAAAGGCAAAATAAATCTACTGGAGAGGAATCCTTTCTTGAAATGTTAATAATTTACTTGTGCAAAAGGAATATAGGCAGAGATCAGCCAGCTGTAATGTCCTTTCTGTCTGCTGCCTTTCTAAGCAGAGGTTCTGTCTTTTGTCTTAATCCTCTAGCTTTTCTCAAAACTCATCTGGTAGCACATGGGTCGAATGCCAGGCCTCGACAAGTAATTGGACAAGTGATGAGATAGAAATGAAGTCAATTTAATTAATTTCTCTGTAGGGTTCTGTTTTCCAGTGGATGCACTTGCCCTAGCCTCTCACACTAATGATATAAATTCAGTATCGGGGTCCGTCTGACCCCCATGGTGACCTCAATGATGTCAAGAAGCAGAAGCTCTCAGCACGCGAGATGGCACGTTATCACGTTCTTAAACACTGCATCCACTCCATAGCTTGTTTTGCATATGGCCAGAGCCCTCGTTAAAGGTTCTCCCCCGACTGCGGTAAGAGGGTTGGACGCCATGCTAATTAGCTTGTATTTTGCGGGGAGATTTAACATGATTTTTTATGCATTCTGCTACCCTCGTCATGTTTCACCCTCTGCGCCATCAGACCAATCATAACTCAAAGGGATTAGGTTTCGTTCTGACGTATCTTGATCACTTGCCATTGGATTTCACTCGTTTGGCCAGCGTTGAGCGTTTGGCGAATCCCCGGCCATCTGGCTAAAAACCGAATGTAAAATAAAGACCCCAAGTGCTAAGTAGAGATTGCATCAATTTCATTCAAAAATGATGTCATACAGCTTTCCTAGTCACAGGATTGCAATTGATATTAGTCGCAATTTTGCAATGGTTCACAGTGGATGTTATGTACAGTTCTGGAAGAAAATGAAGAGACCACTGTATTTTTTTTAAGTATGCATTTTCAAATCCTGGTGCAAGGCAGTGTTTGTAAGGCAGGAGGACACAAGAATAAGGTGAAGCAGGAGACACTGGCAATGACCAAACACCAGCCAGATAGAGGGCAGAAGCAACTTTCTAATGTCAGAGATGACCGTCAACTTATCCGGCAGTGCCTCATGAATTGGAGGATGACCTCAAGTGACCTTTAAAAGGAATGGGAGACATTAAGTGGTGTGAAGTGCTCTGCTAGGACAGTTCATAACAGGCTCCTAGAAGCCGGACCGATGACCCATAAAGCAAAGAAGAAACGCTTCATTAATGAGAAACAGGGAAGAACCAGGCTGTAGTTTGCAAAAAAAAAAAGAAGTATATTTTACACTGGCTCATACCCTTACATTGAGAAATGAGTGAAACTGAAAATTTTGCTGTGGTCTCTTATTTCTTCCCAGAAGCAGAGACCCTTCAAGAATTCTTCAGCCAGCACAAGTACTTGTCTGACTCATCACACGGCATGAGATCAGGCTGCATACAGTAGGGAAGGATTGATCATCAGGTCAACCTTCAAATAGTCAAGGTGTTTTTCTCAATAATGTCTGATGCTCAAGAGGCTGCAAGCATCTCGTGGTGGCGAGATGACCTTTCCTTCCCCTTAAGCAGAATATTGCCAGTGTAACTGGTCAGTTTTTCCCAATCCGGTCCTGGGAGATTCACAGGTGCTCCGTGTTTTAGCTCTTTCCCAGCTCCCTGAAACAGTCCATGTTTTTGCTCAGGAGTTGGGAGGGAGCAAAAGTGTGGACTGTCTGGCAGGGAGCTGGGAGGGAGCAAAAATGTGGACTGTCTAGCAGGGAGCTGGGAGGGAGCAAAAATGTGGACTGTCTGGCAGGGAGCTGGGAGGGAGCAAAAATGTGGACTGTCTGGCAGGGAGCTGGGAGGGAGCAAAANGCAAAAGTGTGGACTGTCTGGCAGGGAGCTGGGAGGGAGCAAAAGTATGGACTGTCTGGCAGGGAGCTGGGAGGGAGCAAAAGTGTGGACTGTCTGGCAGGGAGCTGGGAGGGAGCAAAAGTGTGGACTGTCTGCGGGTCCCCAAGGAGCAGATTGGGAAACACTGGAATATGTCATGTGATTTCATGAAGTATTAGCAGTGATTGCAAATTGCTGAGTAAACCATGACTGTCAGTCGGTAGGGTACTTATCATTTACTTGTTTTTTCGCTCAGCCGGCTGACCTGCTTACTATGAGTGCCGCGACACACACTGCGTATCACAGCTGGACTGAAAGTCATTCTTGCTTTGTCTAGTCTCTCTTTGTTCTGCTTCATTTAAATGCGAGTCTTCCTCAAAGGCTCCCGGAGAAGCGTGAGGAATGCCTCGGCGCAGAACGCCCCCCTAACAAGATGTCTGATGCTTCTCCTGGCTTAATGTCAGGTATCACTTTGTAGGCAGAATTCACAAAACGTAACCGGCTGCCAGTCTGAGCCTAAACCCCCCGTGAAGAGTCCCGAGGGAACAGGGCCCAAAATCCAGTTAGAGCTACTGCTCATTGAGCCTTGTGCTGCTGCTCCTTCACTGCAACACCTGTTTCCCACCAGTGAGGAAGTACAGTATCTCCCCACACAAAGAACCGGCACTGTCAGGTTCCAGTAACACCAGGTTTGTGAGCACCTTGCCCATCTCGTTCCCATTGTTCACCTCCCACTGGTAAATCTCCTCAGCATCCCAGTCCGTATGCTGTACTGTAGTTTATCTGCAAGACTCTAATGGGATTTTCATGGATCAGCCCACGTCAGGATTCAAACATCCTGTCAACTGAGAAGTTCCCTGGAGTCAGGACTCTGGTTTGCAAGCAATAAAAGATCCATCCATCTACCAGTACTGTGAACTAGACACTAGACATATAAACTTGAGTGCATCACTTTCTGATTATGATTTATGAATATGCCCTTTCTGCTGTCCTGATTGTTTACCAAACTGTACTTTCTTCAGAGACTTCTTACTGCAGCTTGAAAGCATTACTATTTTTGCTATTTTTGGCCCTGTTGTCACTTGTAATGTATCACTGCATGTATTTAGCTAATCATGCTAAAAAGTCGCGCTATTCTTTAATCCACTGTCACGGATCATCTGATCCATGGTAAGCAGGGGAAGCTGGCCAGAAATAATATGAAAGAAGGATCGTTAGCATGATTAAGAAGTGAGAGTGATATTAATTCCCAACCTGGGATCTGCCCTGGCCCCCGTGGATTTCACATGCACACCAGACCATGTGCACTATCAATTTTTCAGTGTGTGGGGGAGGAGCCGGAAATGGTGATGTCATCACAGGAAGATGGATGATGGGGGTTTTCTGGGGGGCCCTGGCACTGACCCTAAATGACCCGGGCTGACTGAGGACCGGGGACTAGTGACATGGCACTAAAAACACGGCCCCGTGACACATCTTTTCTCTTGTCATCATACTCGGTGACCTCACAACGCCACCCACGTTTGTGTTCGGAATTCTGGGGATCCAACAATTGGACCTTTGATGTCGCAGGATGTTAAGTGAGGTATTATGTTAGTAATTAGCATTTTACACTATATATGGCTGCATTGAAACTCAGAAATACTGAGGAACAGAAGGAACATGACAGAACTGCCTTTGTCACTTTGAAAACCGATACTTAGTTTGCCTTTAACACACATTGTCTTAATGGAAAATCTTCCTTCAATATTCAAAACCAGCAACATCTTCTTCCTTCATTTTAACCTGTGCCTAATATATTGCCTTAATTTGTTGAGTGAATATCTACCTGGAGGCTGACTGGTCCTAATGAGGTCATTCGCTTCTCTCATTAGTTGCATTTATAACCCTGTTGAGCTCAATGGGGTTTTTCACAATATATCATTTGCACAGTATATTACTCTAGAAAGACACAGAACACTGCTTCAATATCAAGCTGTTCTGAGATTATCAGAGGAAATTAGAGGCACGTTATCTGACTCCGTAACCTGTTCCCAGTGGAGTATATATTTCCTAATTAGAAATCTTCACTGGAAATATCCACATAAATCCCTCGAAAGCACTACCTTTTCCATGCAGCAAGATGGGCAGGCAAATACAGAAACCTGCTGTGATGATCAGTTGAAAGTCTCTCTAATTGATTGACAACATTAAAAAACCTGTGCCTTTAATTGTCTTCCAGCATTGAGCTTAAAAGACAAAACGCATGGAGCAGAGTGATTTGAGAAGGGATTTTCATGGCTGCCCTTTGATGTCCTGAGTCACAGAGGACCACTGCTCTGCTCGCCCACGACCGTAATCATATTAGTCTCTGATCTTAAATGAGCAGCCTGGAGGCTAATAGATCTGAACCACTGACTGCGGGGAAAAGATATTATTTTGGGGGAACCAAAGCTATGGGCTACTTGTTGTGTCCATTTGTGGAAGCTGACGGATGCTGGCAATTTTCCCAAGATAAAGGCTTTGCCACGTCGGACTGGACTTACAGCTCATGTCCATCCCTCCATCAAACCCAAGGCAATTTAAATCCTCTGCAGCGGAAGCTCCGATTCCCTGACACCAGTCACATTGCATAGGATATGACAAGATTCAAAGAAGGATGTCACCCCTGATCTGGAGTCAGCCCCAAAGGCCCCATTTTTGTGCCCCCTGCTTCCAAAGACTGATGTGTGTTTGATACATACGATGTCCCCAGCAACAAGCTATCTGTACAACCTCCCAAAAAGCCCATGTGGCAACTTTATAAATCTGTGCTAAATCACGCCTCATAAAACATATATGATAATTCCAGGAACAAATCAATCAACAACACATTTTCTTAAAAACATAAACATAAAAGATCTATTTATAAAGTGCTTGTCTGAAACCTATTCAGGAATCTATATTTATCCTAAAAAAAAACAATCACCCATATAGGTAAACGAAATGAAGGAAAATGGAGTAGTGCGGCATGATTAAATATTTAATATTTTAAGAGTAACATTCTGTCTTTTGTCCCATATGTTTTGCACATTAACAACCTATTAAAACAAACAATAAACATCAAAAACCATGTGTATCTTCGCAACTATAAAGAACTGTCCCCAGATTCCATGCTATTTTCCTGCAGTATCGAACCCCTAATACACACCAATACCAAGTTATTGACTTGCAAATGAAATGAAGCCTGGTATGAATAATACTTTCAGGAACATACCGTTTCCCTCCTTGTGCAAAGCTCAACACGTGAGTCCCGCTCCCCGTGCTGTGTGCACTCCTCTCACTCTCCGGGCGTGGAAGACCAATTTGCTCCTCTGGTCACAAAATCCCTCAGCAGGTGCCGTGCAGAGATGCTGCCAATTCGCAGAGATCGCCGTGAATGGATGAAAACTGGAGCGCTTACTTAGTCTGCTCCATATTCCTCCACCGTTCCATAGTCTGAGTTTAATAAAACCTTTCTGTCTCTCCTCCTCGGCGCCACCAGTCCAAAGCGAGGACGCGGTGACCTCAGGCGGTGTCCGCGGAGCGCTGTGAAGCTCTCACTGGCTCTGTGTCCGACTCCGGGAGCACTGAGCGGAATGAGTGGCGCGGTGGGGACATATGTTACCAAAGCTTCTCGCCCGGCAAAGGAGCTCATTAAGCCACTGACAATCATGCTCACAAAGACACATCTAAAGGCTATTCACAGACTGTGTACAAAAGCGAGAGGAAATGTGGAGAAAGAGAAACTCGGCCTGCGAGGAAATTCCATTTTTCTCAGAATATCTAGCATTACTGAGAATGTGTTTCCCACCGTCAACAGCGACGTATGGAAAATGACAGATACCAGCCATATTGTCTTATTGACAAAGGCTAAGCTATAGTGATCATTCAGTGAAAAACAATCGCAAGGAACAAAATTGTCCACAGCGCAGCGAGATCCTACTGTGCTGGAGATACAATCCTCTTAATTCCTAATGCTGCATGATGTTCTTGAGCCATTGGCCAAAAGAGAGAAAAACACTTTGCAGTTAATGCCTGGGTTTCAGACACTCCCAGGCGTGAGCTAACCTCAGGGAGAATGAAGCCAAGCTAAGAGAACCAGTGATGAATAACATGGGAGTTTATAGCAACTGGTTTCCGGGGGTCACTTATTTGCTTAAAGAAATTTTGGGATAGGTGAGGGTTAGCTAGACTAACAACAGTTGGTAAACAGTCCATTGCAGGGGGGCACAGATGGGAGCCATCAAAGGCCATGCGATTACGGCGGTGAAGCACGCGATTCTGAGACGGCGATTACAGCCCTCCGAGGTCCCCCAGCAAGGCGGTGGGGGATGGGGGTGTGATATATGGCTCGGACCAGGTTCTCAGACCCTAGAGTACAAGAAGAATGGGGGACGGAGGAGAGGGAGGGGGGCAGGTCATGCTTGGATTATGCTGATGCAGATCATAGGACCGCAGTTACGTGAAACTGGGGATATTCTCTCTTTGCAGAGCATTGTTAACACAGCAATGAGGCCATCAATAACACCCCCCCCCCCCCCCCTGCACTGACAGTTTCGGGAACACGAATTCCTGCACCTAGCAGAAAGAGAGACCAACATCTGCATCTGCACTGATACTTCAGTATTCCACAAATTGGTACATTTTCATGGCTTCTCTTTCAATTTCCAAGAAGCTTAATATGTGGGTTTGAGCTAGAATTTCCTTTTTAATATGCACACTATTTCATAATCCCCTAGAAATTCAAACAGCAAAAATTTGAGTCATGCAGGTTTAAAAGCATGATGTGTGTTTAGAAGTACACCTACATGTCACGATTGCAGGCTGTTTCATCATTTCACCCTTTCGACGGTGTCATCAGGTACCTTATTAAAAAAAAATACCTATATATAGTGCAAGCCTGACTCCTTCAACAGGCAGCTTGGGGACATCAGTGATAACCCAACATGCTTTTCATCACACATGAAATTTGGACCCTCAGGTGAGAGAGGCAGACAGAAATCTCGGCCACCGCTGAGAAGCCAGCGCAGTGCTGTCCAGGAGCATCAGCACTCCTATTCAGCGTCGGCAGGGTGAAATTCCATTATTACCCAGCAAACAGAGGACAGCCTCATGAACTTTGCACAAGAGCTTAAAGCGAGAAGCCGGACAGCTTGACGCGGGAAGGGAGATGGGAAGCCGCCGGGGGGCGCGCTGCCAGTGGAGGATCCAGCGATTGGCTGCCTAGCCCCTCCCATGCCCCGCCGGCACCCATAAATTCACACCCCTCCCCATGTAGCTTCCGTGCACCCTATCTGTCAAACGAGCTTTCAAAGCGAACATTTACATTTGGCCCGGTCAAAGACAATATCGTCTGAACACAAAGTGTGATGAACATTTGGGAGCGAGTAGAATGACCCGAGAACCCGAAATTCAGCCGAGACAAAGAAACGTATACATACATCCATCTTCCCACCACTTACCCCAGTCAGGGTCATGTGACATACACATAAACATACTTCTGAAATGCTCTTTTCAGGGGGAAGCACTATCTACTGTCTTATTAAAGACAGTTCTAACTGTTAAAGAATTAATTAGATTTTATTTGCAGAATATTTGAAATTATGACAGTTTTGCTTTTGTCTTTTTGCTTTTTTGTGCTTAGCAGACTACTACTTTCTTTAAGAACCTAAACGGCTTTACTGGGAGGATCTCATTGTGTTACTGGGCCACCGATTTGCAGACCTAATAGCCTTGGGGACAGACAGATACCTCGTCTGCCCGCATTGCCAGTTAACCCCTGTCATCTGCTCGCCAGGGTTCATCAGCAAGGTGAGACGGCAGCGATGAATCAGAGCGAGCAAAGTGGGTTCTCTCTCTGGCATGACGGGAGAGAAAGGTCTAGAAGAGCAGGGATGGATGTGAAGAGACTGTCTGAAATGGCATTAGGTCACCTGGAGCAAGCAGTCCAGCTCTCTACATCTGCCCATTTCTGCTCTACATAACGGCTGCAGATTTTGGTGCAGATCAGAAGGCTTTTAAACTGAGATCAATTATGCATTAGTACAGTATACGCCTGATATGTCCTAAGATTGAGTGATGTAGTAAGTGGTTGAGTAAGTGATGACTAGAAAGATGGCAAGAACTGCATGAGCAGTTAAATCCTACAATACAGCCACTTCTTACTAGTGGTCTTGTTACGTAGCCAAAAATTCAGAAGTATGTGTGAAATACGGCCATATGACACAGGAATAGCGGACGGAAATGCAGTTTATTAAGGTCCTGAGTTACCCTTTTCATCCTGGGTCAAAACAGGGTCAGCAAACATGGAAATAAAGAGGCCATTTTAGCAGGCAGGAGAAGAATGAAAGGGCCTGAGTTGGGGAAGCTGTGGACAAAAACAGAGAGCGCCGGCCTGGGGACTGGCACCCGAAGCGGGTCGGGATGCTCGGGGAGAAAGAGACAAAGCGGCCTGGTTTATACCTTCTGTGGGAACGAAGGAGAGTTCACAGCGCCCCCACCCCCATCTCTACCCCCCGACAGAGTAAAGCCTGAAGTTATGAGCATTAACCCTACAGTCAAACCCTGTTTACTAGCAGCACTTCATCCAGCTCACTTTTTCATCAATGCTTTCGCAAAAAACAAAGGCAATAATTGTAACCTGAATAAAATCAGACTCTGCAAATAATTACCTATGTCATGACACAAGAAGATGCTGCTTGTCGAAGGATCATTACTGTCCTCATGTTAAATGCCTAAAATACCCACCTGCTGTACAATATTGTCCATATCTGCTTAGCATTTGGAAATATGTAAACACTGCAGAAATGCAGAACGGGGCACTGATACTGTGCTGGAAAACCGTCCATAATGGCGGATGAATCATACATGATTTATATCGCTTCATTGACAACATCTCATTATGGCTCACACTGTTTTTAAGAAGAAGGTTCTGCTACCTTTCCCAACTCCGTAAGCAGCTAAATTGCCGGATTTCCGGGTTGCGTAATCTACCATAAACAAACATGGCACAACAGAAATGCCGGCCTTCTAATGACCCGTGCTTGGCACGTAACTGCCCATTCTCGTTGACGTGTTAATAAGGCTTGCAGTTACTTCCAGCTTCAGGTCTGGTTAGGACACAGCATGCACCACTGAAGACGACAATTTATCCAACAACAAAGAAATGTAACTGAGCCGAAGCCTGCTTGCAGACTGCAGATGTGATCCAAAGCTACCTAAAGATTAATACAACTTGCTTTAAGCACTAATGGTGCATCTCAGCCATTTTCAAGATGGTAGCAGGTGATTTCTCTGCTACAGTTATGATGTGCCCAATAGGAGCTGGAAGCCAGCCACGGATGGGGCAGGGACTCGCTGGCGTGTGCCAGACAGCCGTCTCTCACTCGTCTCTCGGCCAGCACACGGAGCAGATGTCCCACTCTGTGATCCTGATGGCTTCGTGTGATCGTCACTGTCATTTAGCACATCCCCGAAAAGGCCTTGCACAAACTGACGTCGCACGTATTTCGGAAGCGTGGCACTGGCAAGGTCACAGAGAGGTTAACAGAGACATCTAAGGAAAACAGGTCACACCCCACAATTGAAGTAGCCTTTGCAGGAGAGTGAAAAGGAGATGGTATAATGAGAGGTCTGCGTGGCGTCCTGACATAATGCGTTATTATTACAGATGAACTGCTCTCTTTAAACACCTTTCAGTCATGTTTCCTTGGCATCAATAAGTTATTTCCCAGAATTCACTTCCTCAACAAAAGACCTGCATGAGAATGTCCAAAGTGATTCTGAGTGTGTAAACAGCAGGCTGAGTTCCCCTAGCAAACAGAGAGCGAAGACAAACACGTTTTCAGAGGCCGTGCCATCCTGTCAGTCCAGTTCCTCCGGCTAAATCTGCGGTATTTATGTATAAAATAATCCAAATGCTCAGCACTAAAACAGCCTTCTTTCTTGGGTAAAATGGCAGGGCTCAGTGAGAATGCCATGAGCAGAGCCCGCAGACGGCCTACTGCGAGTATCACCTGCCAGATAATAGAGAGCTCTCAGGAACCATTTGGGCAGAGAATACATCGGCAGAAGCCGCTGCTCCACTTTTACTCGCCCTCCCAATACGCCGAGAGGCCTAATTTTAGTTTTTTCGTATTTATCTGTTTTTTTTTTTTTCTCACACTAGGGACGGAAATGATTTTTTGCGCTTTCACGCTAAAATCTACGTGTATGAAGCTTTTGAAGGCGTTCCTAGGCCTCGACCTGCCCCTGATCTGCCAAGTTAATTACCGGCACTCCTAATCCCGTGGTGCCAAATAGCTGAGGGATCTGTCGCAGCCCATCGGAGCAGAGCGAGTGGCTAGGCTCAGCGGCAGGGCAGAGAGCTTTCCGTACAGCGCGGTATAAAACAAAAAAACGCATAAAAACACACGGCGCACGGGCTTGGTCAGTACTCATGCTGTTGCCTTTCTGTTCTCTCCATATCTGTGCTTGTTTATTTACTATTTTAAAGTCAGATAAGTCATTAGCAGGATGCCAGTAAATCTCCAGCAGAAATTGTCATAGTTTTACCAAAACGTCTTTTATATAATTCTACATTTGGCCATAAATTATTTTGATCATGTGACTTGTATATACTTTCACATTGACATCTGAAGGCTATGGGAATGCCTGTCTTCTTGAAACCAGCGTGTTTTAAGTTAAGATACTACTTAGGTA